AATGCCTATAACTTTTGAAGAAAAAGCCATTGGTCCGAATCCTTTTTAGCTTTTACAACCTCGATATCCTCTATCGATCGACGTATGAATGAATGAAAGCGGAGGGGTAAATGTCCATAGGTTTCCTTGTAAGTGATCCATGGATGTATCGTGATGGTCTCTTCTGTCGTGTTTTATCGATGGATGGCGATAAACCTAGACTATTGTTTATCTGGATGAAGTTCTTAACGAGTATCTTAAGGCATTTGCACATTATTACGACGTATTGCCAGTGTTGAGCTAAAAATGCCCGCATGAGATATTGTCGAAAATATAAATTTTGTTTAAAGCAGACTTCGTTGTTTCCTTGTTTTTACAGGTCTACTTAGACATGGACTGTGATGTGAAACATGAAGTTGCACGTAACTATTCATTGCATGCACTCTGAATCGAATATGCTGCACCCTGATGTGATAATTTTTTGTTGTTCACATCGTGTTCATGAATGGATTTCAAAAACGAACATTTTATGTTTAAGCATGAGCACAAGCTGTGGACACTACTAGCTTTCAAGCGTAGATTTCGAAAAAATGTTGTCACACGCAGTATGATGTGCCGATTGATTATTTTGTAACAGAGAACCAACAAAGTTTTATTACCTGCACACGTTTTGTGGAAGTACCTTCTCTTCTATCAAAAGTCGATTTTCCTATTAAACTCATCAATATATAGCCAGAATTCTTCACTATCAGGATTTGTGTCATTCCAACATCTACAACTCGCGAACACTTCAACATTTTTAGTTAACATTTTTCTCATAATCTATTCATATAATGAGGTTTAACCGATGAAATTCCACTACAATTGCATACACCTTGAAGCAAATAAAAACATAACGTAGAATCGTGAGTAGGTAAGTTTGGCGATAAAATAGTGCACAAAGCAATAAACTGTTCAGATTTAACTTGATCAGGTTAAAACGAATTGAAGAGAATCGGCAGTCGTATGTATCATTTGATACAAACTTACCGCTACCTCAATTTTTAAAGCTTCTGGCGCTCAAATAAAATATGAAAAACAGTGAAATAAACTATAATCTATTTTCTTTTTCTATTTTTATTTGTATTTAATGGTATTTAAATGTTTTTATCGTAAATATTTTGTTTCGGCTCCATTTTCTAAAAATTACAAAGGTCTCGTCACTTATACGATCTCTCTTTCTATCTCAATGTCAGAGAAAAAGTCAATCAGCATTCACCAGACACAAAATAGTGCATGTTCTGATAAAAAATCAAAAGATAATAATCATGATACAAATGTTCCAGCAAAATCTGAACACACTACAAACAGAGTATCGAAGAGTAATAAAAATTTTCTTCCTAATATCACGACCACTTTAGATCCAGATTTAGCATCGGTGAAGGCAACTACTAGTCGACAATCGATATACACACTGAGTGCCAAAATTGATACGTCAAAAATAAAACTTACACCTCAAGAACGTCGATTGTTGAATGTAACCGGATATAAGTAAGTGATTCATTTATTCTAATATTATTATCATTGGGTCACAATTTTCATTTTGTTTCGTTAAAGTTCCATTTAATTTGTGTCATTTTTGAATGTTTTAGAGAGGAAAAAAATTTAAAATTAATGAAATATGTTTTCCTCTACTTTGCCAATGAAAATAATATGGATATTGATTATGAAAATACCAAATACCTTAAAGATACATTAGATAGAACGAAATTTGAAGAGGCAGCCCGAGATATTTGTCATAGTTTAAGTATGAAGCATGGTATAAAGAAAAGTTGTACACTATCTGCTATATTGGGAAGGAAGCACAATCTCGTCTTCCTTTCGAAGGATATTTAAAATAGTCTGTGATCTTCTAGTATTTTTGAATTCTATAATTTGCGGGAATATGTCGCTGTTACTACAATTGTAGACTGTTGTGATAAGGCTAATGTACTAAAAATTTATCACTTGAAATCAACACTTAGAAACGTGTGTGAAACAACATTTCACTAATGATTTACCTGATAAACATCTAGCTGCGCTTGAGTAAAGTAGCATCGATTATTCTCACATTATTTCTTGATCATTTTTTACGTCTTTTGAAAAATCGACCATTTTTGAAATGATACTTGTACTGGTGGTGCATAGTTGCTGCGATATTTAATGTTTTCTTTTCAGCTGAATCAACAGATGCTCATAAACTAGCTGAATCATTATTCAAAGGTGGTAGAACCAAATATACTATGTTGGTGGAGCTAATTTGTTTTCTTATTTGTTCTAGCGTATGATAAAGACGATAATGAAGAAATTGATTTTTGTGAGGTTGGTACTTCCCTCTCGTTATGCTAATGACCTGGTTTGTAAATATTTTAAAATTTAGATGGTTTATTTTGTTTGGACTGTATGCGATTCGGAAAGAGAAGAACAGATAGCGGGATTTTGGGAAGCAATGACAAATACAACACTAGATAGAAAATGTAACTATCGTACACTGTCAAAAAAAGTGTCTTGACAAACCACTCGGCTGACTTCAAAATACGTCCACTGTGCGTTTTAACGGCATATTAGGTGCATTTTCTCGTCTTTTTACTGTAAGCGGCCTTACTGTCTTCAAAATAACGCCTCTAAGTCGCTAGTTTGTTTGGAAAAAAAAATAGCTTAGGTGCATTGGACAGACATCACTAATACATCAAAAACGTACAATGTACTAGCTACGGTCAAGACAACTAGTCGCCCATCAGCCACGGATAAATCATGTACTCACATTCAAGGCAACGAAAATACATCGAGACTGTTGTTAGGCACAGAATTATCCTGATACCGAGTCAAGATATCTCTAGCAAGAGAAATGGAGAGATAGATAAGTTTTTTCAGAAAAGTGTCCTATCTGCATTGTTTCTTTAGCCACTAAAGTGACTATCATACTCCTGAACAGACGATTTCTAATCTGTTGCTTGTTTATTTAATTACGTTAGATTCGTTCAAATCAAATAGATGAATTAATTGAAGAACTGCGTTAGAAACAAACCATCGGATTCTTCTCATTCCAAAAAATATTATAAAACGAAGCAGCTTGTTAGTGGATAACCACTTTGATGTCGGTATGTTGAGATCTTTTGCCTTCAATTCAATATCATCAGAAGGAAAAGATCTCAGCATACCGACATCAAAGTGGTTATTCACTAACAAGCTGCTTTCATTTTATAATATTTTTGAAGTAAGGAAAATCCCATGATTTCTGACTAGGTGGTTTATATAGAACCGCAAACCGAAGTAAAAACGGTAGTTTGGCCATTCGCTATTCCAATACATACATTCAGATATATTTGGAAGTTAAAATCCCGTAACTAACAGGCAATTGAGTTCTTTTTTTCTAACCCGTCTATATCCAAGAAGAGAAATTAACATGCTTTGTATCCTCTAGATAGACTTATTCGTCGCTTTTCTGCACGTGGTAGTCGCTTTTGTATGGTATCCCAGTATATCTAATACATCCTGGATGCTTTAAAGACAACGGGATACCCTACTTTATGCATCAAAAATGCACCTAATTTACATGGGAGAATGCATCCGAAATGCCTTGACTGAACATCCACAGTGTCTCATGCAGACATTGTGGGTGCATAAAACTGGAATATGCGCTTTCACAAGACATGGTGACGCGTCTTTTTCATGGAAATTCCATCTTACTAATAAAAACTAAGGTCGCTTTTAACGCGCCTGAAGTGCATTTTTCAAATGCATCACTTTTTTCATAGTGTAGTCACGCTATATTATAAATAGAAATGTCTTCTACTATGCTTTCAGTACCTTCTTCTTATACTTTCAAATGGTTCAAAACTAATGTTCTCGTCTAATTCAGATTCTAACATTTCAATTGTTTTGTTTATGGTGTGAGATACATAAAAAATGTCTTGGTCCTAAGATCACTGATTTTCACGCGCTCAGAGACTAAATGTGTCAATCGTTTTTCACTTTCATTTCAGTAACGCGTACAAAACTGATTGAATTTTTAACAATTTTAAAGGATGATTTTCAACCAAAAGCCGAGCCACGTCCGAATGAAACGAAACCGTTGACAGGATCGCATAGCATATCCTCGGAATCTTTATTACAAATTCCAAATAATCGTGCATTAAATACCGACCAGGATATAGCCGATCGTGTTGATGAATGTTTTAGAACGAATAACAATGCCGAAGAACTTGATTTAAATCAAGTTTTAGATTATTTTCTAGGTAAAAATGATAAAACTGTAAAAAGAACAAAAAGAAATTGGACAAAACGGATGAAACGTATTCGACATCGCGAAAGTCAACGACAGAAACACTAAGAAAATCAAGAAAAAAAGTTACATGAAAAGAAGTCAACAACAAAACAAGAGACAAATTTGAGTAGACAAACGAAATATATGTTCAGCTTTAATATAGGACAGTTCGAAAGTGAGACTATGTTTTTTGTCCCTAACTCACCCGTAATAAAAAACCTAGGTAAAAGTTTGTCAAGTATGGCAACATGGAAGATAAGAGTTAGTCTTGAACAATATTGTACCTCTTACTGAACAAAAACTTAAAAGATATACATACTTTTCGTAGTTATTTTAACTCTAAGATGTTTTCGACTTTCCTGGTACGACATCTGTTTAATGCTTACTTTGTTACTTTTAAAAGAAAAAAAAGACGGCTATCGAAGTTTTTACTTATTAGAAAACTGGTTCGATTATGCAGGTCGAGGATCAATACATTGATCGAATTGCATCATTTATTTTAGAGACATTTAATTCGTTGTGATAACGAATAGTTATGTAGTTATTCAAGAGAACATTGAAAGACCGATGAAATGCATGTTACGTGATAAGATCAAGAAAACGATTGTAAACCGTTACTACGCGGCTTCTTCTAACGTCTAGTTCATAAATCATTAATGCAACATCATTGAATCCTTCAATAAAACAGAAGAAAAAAGGATTTTTGCTTGTTCAAATAATCTTTTAGCTTGTTTTTAGGCCTAAGCAGAAATGACCGTTAGCAGAATGTTCTGAAAAATGTTAATTTGGTTTTTTGAATACTATCTAGTATATCTTTTCTTATTATCTATGTGAATGATAAAGAACGCGTCTCAATTTCTCAAGTTCTGTCGTTTCCTCGCCCTCATCACTAAACACATAGAAGACAAAAACTCGATTATAGGATTGTGTGTGTGTTAAACACAGACTCTACAATTTTCTCGCCTAATGTTCATTCAGAACTTTTTTTAAATATCGACTATCTGTCATGCACATGCACACACATTCTGACTTCTTTTATTCTTCCATTGTCTTATTCTTTTCATATTTCTCATCTAAATATTCGAAAACTTTTTTTCTTCTTATGTTTTTTACTATTAGACAACTAGAATTGTTAAAGTTCTTCCTTCTTGTCACAGATAGAGTTTTTATGCAACCAGAAACAGAAAAAAGAAAGGATGGAGTTAGTTTTTTCCTTTTATTTCCTTGTTATTTTCTACTCATAGATTATATCACGCACATTCATTGAACGCCATCCGGCTACATGCATGAATACAACTGAGTTTCTCTTTTTTTTCTCTTGCATTCTTTATGCTTGTATGCAAGACGATCTATTAAAGAAAATTTTTGTTTGGATTGGAAATAAAAAAAAAAAAAAAGAAAGAAAAACGATACGAAGAAAAATCGGGCCACACGCGCATTCAACAAAGCCAGATGATGTTTAGACTTTAAGACTTCTGGTTTTACTTTCTTTTCTCACGATTGGAATGAAAATCGATCGAAATCTTCTTCTTTCCTTTTTTCCACTGACGAACACACTCGTCAATAACATTTTGATATAAAAAAAAAGCTTAGTGTACTACTACTTTCTTAACTTTATTCTTTTTTTACGTGTATAAAAACATAGAAGAAGAAAAAAAGAGGATCACAAGAAGGAAAATTGTTTTTTGCGCGGTCTATAGTGCGCTAAATTCTTAAATGTTTTTGTTTACTTTTTTTCTCTTTTTTCCTTTTTTTTTTTTTTTTTTGTTTTTTTTTTGTTGTTATTGAACGAAAAAGAAAGAAACGATAGAAAAAATAGATGTAAGTACATAATCTATAATGAATTGTTTCTAAACTTGACTGATTTATTATATACTATAGTGACATGTCATGGTTGTTGAGATTTTCCGGACATTGCATATAGTCATCATGAACGACAATTGTCTTTTGTATAGAGAACAAAAAATGTAAATAATTTTTTTCTAGATTTTGGAAATTATATTCTTCAACATACGGTAATGTATAGAACATGTATAGAAAACTCATTTTATCTTCTATTGTAATTTAATTAAATTAAAATTATGTTTTATATAAGATAATGAAAGCTGACTATACGCTTTTAAATCTAAGTTTTAGAACTATTATAGGAAAAGATATGAACAATTCACGATATAAGATCAATCTGTCTTATCATTCTCGTGAAGTAAACAAATACATAAGATAAAATGTTATTATTTGATGAAATATGAAAAAGGATGAATTATGTATTCATTGCATTGAAAATATTGTTAGATCCTTATCAGTGGCCTTTTTATGGTTGATATTTTGGTAACACTTTAATCATAGTTTCATCAAAGAGTCATAAGCATCTAACAGAAATATAACTTGAGAATTTTTTTTGTGGTGGAATTCTCTCATATATGTCTAAGAATGTCTTTACGCTGTCGATCTTTAATGAATTATTAGTTTAAAGTTTGTGACTATTTTCGTACGGATGATGTATAGATTTTTTTTCTTTTATACTTTATCTTTTTGTATGTCATTTTTTAATGAAATAACATGAAGAAAAGACGTCTTAGAGCGAAACGAAAAATTCATCAACTTCACATATATTTTGAAAAATGATTAATTAAAATATTCAAAAATGATAAGATGTAACTAAAAATCTTACAATTGTTTTCTATTATTTTTTAGTTTAATTTAGTCAATCTCTCTTAGATTAATAATTACAGCACATTGAGTGAAGTGTAAATAAATTGAGTTTTAATTGTATCAATTTTTATAGCTTTTTCTTTGTTTGTATGATTTCTTGACTCCAAGAGTAGTTTTAGTAATGATCTATTCCCATTTTCTCAAAAGAATACACATAAATGTATTTAATTGTTAATAAATAGGTTAATTTTACTTGCGTGGCACACTCTTCTATTAGAAGAAAAAAAAAAAAGAATATAAACTATAGGATCTATAATAAAAGAATACATGACAGATTTCATGCATTTTTCTAATAAAAAATTGACAAGAATGGATGGTAAAATATTTTTCTAGTATAACTATTGATGTCAAAAGAATCGGCTGAATAGTTCCCATTGTGATATTTTTGTGTTACTTTGTGGACTATTGAACGCGTTCAAAAATTCTAACACTAACAAACGTGTTTTTTTTCACAAGAAAACGTGTTTGATTGTATTGTTATATGAAAAAAAAAAATGAAAACAAGAATAAACGCCTTCTGAATCGGAGACAGAAAAAAAATGACAGAAATACAAAATCGTATTTTTGCATTCAAAAAGACAGAAAACGCGTCTAGAACTATATTTTTTCTTTGTGTCATAGTGTAAAGTGCGTTCGACCGCGTTGTCAATGTAAGACCCCATTTTGAATGATTGAACGTGTGAAGTGATCCAGAAAGTAGCTAACAATGTTGCATTGACACAGAAAGAAAAAAATTTTTTTTAATCTTTTAGATCGAAACAGTTTATGAAGAAAATAAGAATAAAAGTCATTACGTAGATGTGATAAAGATACAGCATACGGAACTTAGTTTTTGAGATATTAGTTAATGTGTAAAGAAGATAGTTAAAGAAAACGTTTTCTTTTTTGTTGATGATGCCTAGAGGCAACTTTTTTAAATGTAACAGTAGTGGATGTCTTAAATTAATTGATTTATCCATATTCTTTTTAGTATTAGCACGAAATTTCCATTTAGTTATAATGTTTTTTAGAACAACAGTTAAAAAATGAAGTTTTCCTCCCTTTTCTATTGATAAATGAAAAAATAAAGTCAAAAGGATGATTTATAACCGTACGTATATAAAGACAATCGATAAATCTATTACTTTTCACTCTCTACTATCGATCGGCATAGTAAGAAAGTTTAATGAAAACTCCCATGTGACATATTCTTTTTTGGAAAAATGATAGATTGATAAAAAATAATAGAATTTTTAGTTGTAAAATAAGGTTTATGTAGATTTATCAGATACTAATATGCAACCATTATAGAGAAAGTCTCTTTTGTTTATGCGTTGCGGATCTTTTAGAGCAGTAGCATTGAACTGCACTGACTGAATAAATGCGCATTAATCCACTCGATTTACCAAACCAAACGTTCTAATAATTTTTTTTTGTTGAAAAATTTCCTTTCTTATGTGACTCCGGAAACAATGTTAAATCGAAGAAATAAAAATGTGCGTCAAAGTATACAGGTTAAAAATATTTATCTAAAACAATCATTCACTAAAAAGTACACTACAAAAAGCATGAACTGAAGTATCATAGTAACAAAATATAAAGGAGAAAAATATTCATAAAAAGGATCGGCCTGCATATACTAATCATATTCCTTTGAATTCCTACAAGGAAGCAAAATAACTGTTATTTGGATGGCTACTTGTTTATTTATTTACTTCGTTTGTATCAGATTTGAAGTACGTTTTTTAAACTGAACTAAATCACATACAATTCTCAAAAGAGTTTAAATCACATGATTTCTATCTGTAGTGTAGATGTGTTACGGATTTCAAAGATAGAAAAGAGATGTGCGTGAGAGAGATGAATAAAGTTTACTGTGAACAATGATAATGAAACTGAAGTAGATCGAAGATCTAAGTATGAATAGCTATTATTTTGACTGAACTCGTATTTTTAGTAGCCTTAGTTCTTTTCTATTCTTCGAAGATGAGACTCATTTCTTCTCAAACGTTCATCCACAAGTAAAGTTTTGATCAATGTGTACATGAGTTTTTCGAATGTAAAGTTTTTGTTTTCGTAAACTTCAAAACTGATTAGCGATGTTTCAGAAAAATGTTACAAGAGATTGATATAGAAGTTGAACTCAAATACATGTTAAATTAAAAAAACCAAGTCAACAAAACATTTGATCCTAATTTAAGTTATACTTAAGCTTTTTTTTGTCAATTACATCCTGTCTGGCTAAGGAATCGAAGCTTTAGGCTAATGTTGAACTAATCTTCTTTAAACTATATAACTGTTACTATACATGTATTTTTATTGATTTATTTCTCTAATATTTACTAAACGGTTGCTCTACTGTTAGACTTACTGTATGCAGAGTTGCAGACACGGATGAAACCGATAAGGAAGAAGGCGTCTTCGAAGAAAATTTCACGGAAAACGTGTATTTTTTGACGCTTTTCTGCATAGAAGAGTTAACACTACTGTCGTTCAGTGTTTCCCAAGACACAAAAACTCTTTTTTTTCAAAGATAAGATAAAAATTTAACAGTTATAACCACGGCGTATCTTTAACTGATTTTAAAATCAGATTGTCAAATCTGATACTATATAAAAACAAATCTTTCATCTCTAGCTGATCTTAAACCAGCAGAGAAAAATATACTATGCTAGACACTTTATTGGTCCCTTGCGACGTCTACAACTTGTGAACACTTCAACATTTTTGGTTGACATTTTTCTCATAATCTATTCATGTAATGAGCTTTAAATCATAAAATTTCACTCCAATTGCATGAACCATGAAGGAAATAAAAATTTTGTAGGAGAGGCCCTTAATGTGAGAAGTCATAGTCATCCTCTATAGAGTTATTTGAGGAACACTACAGATTTGTCATTTTGCTCTATAATATGAAGACCACTCTCTTCACGTGCTAATTATATACGCGGTCTGAAAATGGAGTAATGTCTAAAGAGATCGAGCATTTTCCTCTATATTATTAAAGTGTTTTATTACTTTTTCTTTTTTTTCTTCTTCTTCTGTTGTATTGTATCATCATAGCTATTTTGTATGAATACAAAGTATGAATATGGGAATAATGCAGCAAGAGAGACAAAAAAAATAAAATATAAATATTTCAATTAATAGGGTCATTTAGATAAAATGGAAGCAAAATAGTGTGAAAGACATGGAGTGTGATCACTTATGTATTTTTTAATTAGTATTTATATTGGCGACATGTTATTACACCTACTGGAATTTTCAATGAATACAATGAAAACTATAATCTCTCCGGAAATGAATATGTCCATATTCATCATTGCGTGACAATGTTTGACCTATGATAGAAATTCTACAACGGAAATTATTAATTTAAGAAAGTCTTATAATTCTTGAAAGGATTAAAGTTCGCATTTTAATTTCAGATATGTATACATTCTATGCATGAAATTATTGAGAAATTGGATTAATTAATCATTATTTGTGTAAAATAATGGCACATTTTACACGTTTTGTTGCAATTGAAGATAAGTTTCAAACAAGGTGAGTATGTCACAGCTAGATGATAAATTAATAGTAAATTATGTTATTTCGCAAAATGTATTCGAACTTGCTTCTATAAATGTTGGAATATGACATAGAATAATGATTTCAACATTTACATAGTTTTTGTTTTTATGAGAGTTTAATTCCTATACAGGACACAGAAGATTATGACGCAGTAATTGATGAAGCACTATTTCTGACAGCAAAGACTGAACTAAAGATCATTCATCGACGCTCTCTCCTAAAGGCAGTTCAAGCATGGGACTAAATGATATTCATTCATACATAATTCTTTTTATAATAAAAAGTCTAAGCTACTGGTCTCCACCGATAAAATGTTGATTAAATTTAATAGAAAACATTACTTATTTTCTTTTAGTTTATTCACATTTATTTTACCCAGTTCATATCTATTGAATACTGAAGAAGAATTGTTGACACGTGAATTTATTTGTAAACATATACCATTTGTATTATCATTTGTTAAAAATGGTGATCAATTAAATGCGTTTCTTCTTCAACGTAATATATCCGAAACACTCGAAGTCACTCTCGATTTTTCATTAAATTTATTATGTCGTGAACATTTTACACGTAATGAAAATTTTGTTGAAAAACAATGTAAATTTAATCGTACAACTACGTTACATGGACGAAAATCGTTTACATCCATAAATCGTTTATGTTCCGTTGATTTTATGGATGAACGTGGAAATATTCAATGTGAATTAGAGATAAAAAATTTAGCTTGTAGCTATATGTACGAAGTACAAATACCTTCACATGCCCAATCGCCGTATGCACATGTTATGACTAAACAACCGTTAGATCAAAAAATAGAAACCGCTCACTTTTATTATTCAAATTATGAATGGTGTTGTATTATACAACCAAAATTAGATAGTGTTGGACAATTAGGCTATTTTCGTTTGTATATTCAACGTCTAACCCCGTGTGACCATTCGGTTAAATTAACATATAAAGTAAAATTAGTAAACGGAAATTTTGTATGGGATGCAAATCAAGAACGATTATCGAATGGACCTCAATATCAACCATTGCCATCTAAAACTGATAATGAAGTCAATTATACAGATGTCAATGGAATGTGTAGACCTTATAGAATTGATAGAGTACGAGAACTACTACAAACAAATGGAAAATTTATTATTCATATCGATTTGAAAGACGCTGTCAGTAAGTAGATACACGAATTGAACTGAACATCTACATGTCAGTTGTTATTTTTATATCGAATCTCATTCTAAAAAAAAAAAAATCAAATATTAGAAACAAACTTTTTCAAGAAAATGATTACAAAAAGATAAAAATATACCATAATGTCGATTATCTGTTCTGTCTATTCTACCATGGCACATGATTGAGTTATATGGGCGCGGATCATGTAAATTAAATGAGATGTTTCTACTATGAATTATATGCTGTTTCCAGAAACATTTGTCTTAGACTAAATTATTATGCCTGGTTTATACCATGTGAGAAAATGATTGCAAAGTCGAGAAAAGAGGAGGCTATCATCAGTCTATTCAGTTAGTTCAGCTTCCGAGAAGAGTGGTTTATCAGACGAAGAGAAAACTAACACAGCAGATACGTATGCTAATCGAGAGTAAGAACTAGTGCATAGCTGTACGTAAACTTCTCTGACACCACTGAAACACTCAAAGGAAGAAATAGAATATATAGCAGTGCAGAATAAACTAAACCGATATGATATCATTTTTATTTCATCAATCTGTTAGGCGTCGGACGAATTTGAAGAAAAATTCATTTAGAAAAAATTTGTGTTTTTATCTCTGGAAATAACAAAGAAAAGTGATCATCAATAAACCAGTTCTCACCATTTCGACCATTAAGAGTTCATTTATGTTCAAAAAAAGGTGAAATACAATCCTAATAATTAGATATATATGCATGTATACCTTTCCATATTTGCGTTATTTTGTGTTTAAATTATGTAGTGTATTGTATGTATTCAAAGAAGAACAGAAAATGATGAGAGATTCTGTATCGGAGGATTAACTACACTCATCTGTATCAGCTCTACAGTCTCGCTTAGTACAATTTTGAAAAAATAAGAGCTAACAGACCAAAGTTCAGGAAAAGAATAATATTAATAACTTGGTGAATACTGATTGACAACTACAGGGAGAAAAAATAAGCTCTTAATCAATCTCGAACTGAATATACTGGACTAAATTGATGATCTCAAAAAACTTCATCGGTGCTCAGCGTTTCAGGCATGTTTATTCCAAAAGATTTCGTTTTTGATAATTTGAACAATCTTTTATGTAATGTATATTCCTATAATTGTTTACTACGAATTCATTTATTTTATAAAAAATGATGCCTTGTTTCAGTGTCTTCAATTGATTTTGTTTTAGCTGTGTTTCCAATTATTGTTGATCCATTTTCACAACATCCGATTCCTGTTCCTTTCATTGATAAAGATAAACAAGCATGGACCGTTGAAGCCTACATTGAAGAACAATGTTTCATAATTCGTCTTTATTATCAAGATATATTTAAGATACCTACCGGTTATGTAAGATGTATCTGTTTCAACATTACAGTGAGAAATCATGATGATACAAAAATAACAACATCCGTATTTCAAAAACCAGTAACGAAATATTATTCACAAAAGGATAACGACGAAGGATTAGAAATAAGTACAACGTTGGACGTTGAAGAAGTAGGTAACGCCAATAGTACTTTCATTCATCATTTGTATCAATTGTTTCATTTTAGCTCACTCATCACGGTTACTTGAATGAACATAATGGTGTCACTATTGAAATTGAAACATTTTATACTCATTTAATGTTTCAGCCAGAGTATTCACCGTTAGATGATATTGTACGAAAACATAAACTTCAAATTATGTAAGCTCTGTTTTCGTCTATTATTAAACACGTTTTAACTTTATCATGCGTCGTTATAGGCGTGAATTATTGGCTGCACAAAATGAAAATTATTCGTTAGAAAAACAGATGCATAATTTACAAATGACAATTCAGAATCCATCCCGTGGATTATCATCGGACATGGGTAATTTAGCATCAGCCGGTGTTGGTCTAAGTGCGCCGCCAACACCCAACGTTGTACGAAAATATTATGAAATGAAATATGGTGATAAAGGTTCAACAACAAATTTAAGTGATCAGCAATCAACCATCATCTCCTCCGCCACATCATCCGCAGCAATACCGTCTTCATTGTCAAATGCTGTTCGAAATGGTATTGGACCTAAAGGACCTAATCCTGTGCCCCCACCAATGACAGTGGGTGCAAGGGGCTCCACGTTTAAATTTCCTACCCCACGTCTACCTAATTCAATTCAAAATACATTACAAAATACGTCACAAACTATACAATCAAAATTACCCGCTAGTTTACAAAAATTACCACAGAGTTTACAAAATCCAACTATTAATATGTTAGCAAGCAAATTTCAAAATGCTTTTTCCTGATGTGTGCGTGTGTGATAATTAGAACGCCTTCGTCTTTATTTGTTTTTTTAATTCTGTGATGCACGTTTTTACACCTTCCATCAAACTATAGTTTCAATTGACCTAATAGCAAACAAATAGTACAAATCATATACTTCTTCGCTCATATTGAAAGGTTTTCCGAATAAAGCCCTCCCACTCCCCTGCCCAAAACAATTGGATACTTATACCAACAATGTGAAAGGGTCTGAGTTTTTATTTAGGCTTTCAATTTCATACCGCGTCAAGATTTACAGTCAAATTTTCCAGATTGTTCCAAGTACTCAAAGTAAAACGATTTTCGCAACGATTTGAATAAAATTTTCAAAAATCCGGCTCTTTTACGTTGATCTCATATGTCGTTGAAACAACTTAAAACAAACCCAACCTGTCTTATATGAGATTAAGAATCGTTGCTAAGCTAAATGTCCTATTTGAATGTTTGAGTAATATCTCGTAAACGATCGCAGGTATAGTCTCGGAAATTTTAATCTAGACAAGAGCAAAATTTCTTAAACTTTTTGTCTAGATACGACTTATATTTATCGAAAAACTTTTTGACAGAGGCAGGCTACAGAACAGACGCTTAAATGTTTCGTCTTTGAATACATTCCACTAGATGAGATTTGATGGAAGAACTGATAAAAGACCCGCTTGCGTCATGACTTTATGTTGAAAACAGGGAGTTGTTCTTGAAATTCAGTAATTAGAAGGATAGATTTTGTTGATGATGATGTTCTTAATCGAATTGTTGGCGTTATAATTATTCAGTTAGTCTCACAAAAACTTATAGTCTATACAACGAAAAGCCATTTTGTTATATCATATTTTTTTTTATTATAAATACAAAAAGATTAAAAATATGCACTATTTTTTCTGTCCTTTCCATCTGTTTCTATATACTGTGTGTTTCATTGTTGCATGCAGATTAATAACGTAGCATTTGGAAAAATTCATATGGTATACATATAGAGTTTTTCTTTTTGCGTTCAATTTTTTCAATAAACAACAATCTTAATTAGAGTAAACTAAGGATCAAGATTTGCTCGAAAATTAAGAATATGGTTGTTGTAATTTATAAAATAGAAAGATCTATGTATCTAATAGCAGAAGTGAAATAGCGTGCTTTATGATTATGACGAATCTATATATTCTCCAAAAGGGTCGGAGAAAGTACAGAATACATAAAAACATGTTTCTACGTCAATTTTAAACAGAAAATTCTAAACCTTTTGTCTCACTCGTGCGTTCGAGTATAGGAAATGACGTATATGAGTATAGGAATTTACGGGCGTTCTTTCTAGTCGCCAGCTTTTTTAAGCCCATCGTGAAAAGTGTGCCTTAAAAGACTAAAACATCGGATTTAGGAACGATGCGCACAAACAATGTTGCGCACCGATTCTTGCGCACAGTATAAAGTAGGAGATTGCGTAGATATTCAAATTAGTGACGTTGATCGAACAAATATTGATGTTAAACTGCTACCATGTTTAATTCTTTCAAAGGATAAAAAAGACGATGATTTCATTTTTAGAATAGCATGTAAATTTGGTAAACTTGCGATCGCGTATACGGTTGAAAGCTTGATCGATTTGCGATCCGCATGTCCAACAGATTTAAAACTAAATGAACTAAGTTCTCTTGGTGAAATAACAGTAATCGAAGCTGCAAAATTATTGGTTCGGGTGCTGTATCCGGTGCAATATGCGATTGTAAGACTTAATATGGGACGAAACATTGTCCCTGTAAAAAAGTAGGAGTGGCATGCTCAACAAAATGTCATGTTAAACAGCGTGGATGTATTCAAGTATAAACTCAAAGCAAAGTATAAACTCAAGCATAAACTCAAGTATAATTGGACATGAACCTGGACAACGATATCAATTTGTACAATGTTAAATGCACTGTCTTTGAAATGTCGAGCAGGCTATCGTTGTGGTAGCCAACGAAATATCACATAATAATATCACAGCACTTGATTCTATTCTGTATCTATAGCGGTATTTACGTGTGATGAAAGTTAAGCAGGAACCATTAAAAACAAGGGTATTTTCGTCATAAAAATGTGAATTTTCGTCACAGCCACAAAAAGCACTCCGAAATTCACGGGAACTTACGTCACCATGCTTTTTTCTGAAAAACGCACAGGTAGAGTATAATTGATTGAGGGCCTAATCGAGTTCTATAAGATTCTATATTAATTTAAAACAATATCCTGTTATTTTTGAACATGTTAGTACACAATTATAAGCCGTTGGTAAACCACAACAAGCGGAATATTTATGTAGCTTTATCTACAAATCTTAAACTATTCATTTTTCATTCAAACAAAACCTAAGCTGATAAAAGAAACAGGTAGAAAGAAAGAAAGACAGATTTCAATAGTGTTCGCATGCGTGAACTGATAGTGAGAACCGATGATCATTATCGAAAAGAATTATCGGCTTAAGTTCTCCTATTATCAACACAAACGGTTGTTCAGCTAGCGCACTTGAATGTTTTTTAGAGGTGTATGTAGAGAGCAAAGCTTTTGATTTAACTCTAACCGGATCCGATTCGCCGGTTAGCCGGTTGACTGCGCTGAAGAAGAGCCAGTGGGAAACCTACTGTTGGATACTTAGGGAAAAATTGGAAACAAACTAGCAACAAAAACGCCGATTTTTCCAAATAATCTAAGATTTAATATTCTTTTATTGCAACATATTGCTAAAAACATATTTGCAAATGTGAAAAACTTCACTATACAACTCAATGATGTCACTGGTCTTTTTTTACTTGAATAGAAACTCTTCATTCTTGATGAGAAAAGTCAATGTATTTTCGATTTTCACGTCAAAAATTCTATATCACAGCACTTGATTCTATTCTGTATCTATAGCGGTATTTACGTGTGATGAAAGTTAAGCAGGAACCATTAAAAACAAGGGTATTTTCGTCATAAAAATGTGAATTTTCGTTACAGCCACAAAAAGCACTCCGAAATTCACGGGAACTTACGTCACCATGCTTTTTTCTGAAAAACGCACTTTCGTCACATGTGACGAAAGTACACCCCCTCTATGACGAAAGTGCGTTGTGACGAAAGTTCCTTTTACCAAAATTATTTCTTTCGTGAAAGAAGTGAGGGAGTGAATAAAACAGTTTTTTTTTCTGTTTCTTTACTATACGAAAGAAAGAAAGAAAGATGTGAGGGACCCTTCTCTAGGGGCTTCTTTTTTTGTTTATTTCGTATATTCACTCGTACACTCGCTCTGTGGGTCCCTCACTTCTTTCCTTCTTTCTTTCGTATATTATTTACTGCACGATCTTGTGCTCGCTATTTGTAAATTTCACTAATATTAACAATAAAAGCAGCAAAGTTTTAATAGCAAGCACTAAATCTAAGAACTTTTAGAAACTAATCAAGCGGTTTTAGATGTGGTTATTTTTAAAACGGATGAGAGCAACACACTGCGCGAAGTAGGATAACAAAAAGAAATTATACGAAAATTACTTCAGAGGCATTAAACATCAATTTAATGTTCAAAATTGGATATTGTCTGTGTTAAATACCAACGTGATGTTACTTGGCCAGGAATAATAACCTCAAAATGCTTTATCAAGAAAACACATATTTTCCCATTCTTGCTGACTTTTAGGTTGATAATTATTATAAGTTACCCATAAATTATCGTCACGATCACCAGGATGAATTCCATTTGGTTTCATATTTATAATAGCTTCAATGGGTTTTTCAACATAACTAGTAGCTCTGAAGTACTTGTAAAAGCAAGACGTGTTGAGTTTCAGTGACAAATAAGGAAGTTCTAAACCAATAGAAATGTTGTGTCTCTAAAATGCGGGTGCATCAGTTATTGCCCCGGTACGAGGTGGTTTTTGCAAACGACACAAGGCGGTCACACCTTCTTCTGCTATCTAAGCAACAATAAAAATAAAGTACTTCTTACCATGTGTTTTGATTTATTTAGCATACTTTCTTAATTCCACCTTATCATGAACAAGTAAATCGATCAATATTTTTACACACGATAACGGCAATGCTACACAACGTTGAAGTAATATCTCCATGAACGACATGGCCATTTCTTGATTAACCGACGTTTGAGCGCCCGACATTTGAGCGCCGACATTTGAGCAACCGACACTTGAGCGACCGCCAGTTGAGCGCCCCCGACACTTGAGCGCCCCGACATTTGAGCGACCGACATTTGAGTAATAACGACCGTTCAGCACCAAGTGCTCACTCTCACCCTCACCCCCACTCACCCTTACCCTACACAGCCTCACCCTCAGATCTCCAAATAATTCAGTTCATAATCGGACGACAAAAAAATTGTTCTGATCATCGTTATCGAAGTGAATAATCATTCGACTTTC